ACATATCCTTGTTCCTTAGCTTTGAAACTCACAAATTTAGATTTATCTCCAGTCATATGTTTTGAGCATCCGCTATCAAGATACCACATAGACTTCTTTGATTTGGAAGTTTCCTACAAAACAAGAATATAGTAAACTTAGGTCCCCACAACTTTTGGGTCCTTGGGGTTAGAGACATAACAATCTATTTAACTATAGGAACCCAAATGAATTTACCTTTAGGTACACCAAAATGTTTAATTTTACATCTATTTGACGTGTGACCTTGTCTCATGCAATAAAAACATACTTTTGATGTGGCATTTGAAAATGATGCATTTCTAACTTTTGACATTTTAGTTCCTTTCTCAAACCATACTCTTTTCTTTTTAGTTTTAGACTTTTTCATAGATACTTGATGATTTACATTATTTTGAGCAAAAACAGTTTTATCCTTTTTAAGATCACTTATTTCCATTTCGGCCTTATCAAGTAGATGATTTAGGATATCTATATCATATTCATGCTCTTTACAAGTTTCACATGCTAAATTCTTATCCTCATCTAAACATACAATTTTCGTGTCTAATACCTCTTTTTCTTCTAAACATGTAATTTTCATTTTTAAAGAGTCAATTTTCTTTTCGGATCTACTTAAATTCTTCTTTACAACTTTATATTCATTCTTCAAGTTCTTAAAAGCACTAAACAATTCATTATAAGCATTTTGCAATTCATCATAGTTATTATCCTCATCACTAGAAGATGTGTCGGAATCACTTACCTCAAAATCGGATGATATGTTGTCATTTGCCATTAAGCAAATGTTCGCTTCTGTTTCCGAGTCACTTGATTCCGAACTTGAGTCACTGTTGTCCCAAGCAATGTAAGCTTTCTTCTTGAATTTCTTTTTGCCTTTAACTTCATCGTTCTTCTTATTTGGACATTCGGTCTTTACATGTCCTGCTTCACCACAACCATAGCATTTTATATTTACGGAAGAATTTTCCCTTACCTTTCCTTTACCTTTGAAGGGATGTCTTCCTTTTGCTTTCATGAATTTGGTGAACTTCTTTATCATTAGACTCAATTCTTCTTCTTCATCGTTTGAGTCTTCTTCTTCCCTTTTATTTTTACCTTTTGAGATTTCGGTTTTGAAGGCTAGATTTTTCTTTTGATATTGGCCTTCTTCTTCGTTTAACCTTCCAAGCTCTAACTCATGTTCTCTAAGTTTTCCAAAGAGCACCGCCATTGACATTGTGGAAAGATTTTGTGACTCCGAGATGGTCGTCACCTTAGGTTGCCACTTCCTATCCAAAGATTTCAAAATTTTAACATTTAATTCATCAACGTCAAAGATTTTACCTAGTCCGGTGAGATGGTTCACGATATGACTGAAACGCTTTTGTACGTCAAAGATCGTTTCGCCTGGTTGCATCCGGAACATCTCGTATTCTTGGATTAGAGAATTTTTGCGTGCTCTTTTAACGTCGTCAGTTCCTTCGTGGGTCACTCTAAGCATTTCCCACATTTCCTGAGCACTTTTACAAACAGAAATTCTATAGAACTCGTCAAGGGTTAGAGCAGATGAAATAATATTTCTAGCCCTAACGTCAAATTGTGTTTTTCTGTTTTCTTCTGCAGTCCATTTAGAAAATGGTTTGGGAACGTCAACACCGTTCTCAGTAACTTTAGAAATATATGGACCGTTTAAAATAGCGTCCCAAACGCCTCTATCAACAGACTCTAAAAATATTTGCATACATACCTTCCAGAAAGGATAATTTTGACCCACAAAAAGTGGGGGTCTGTTGATAGACGCACCTTCGGCAAAAGTTTGATTTTGTCCGGCCATTTTCGAAAATTTGAATGACTATCAAAGCAAGCTCTGATACCACTTGTTAGAATCGTGCAGCAGAATGTTCGCGTGGTCGAACAAAAACCAAGAGGGGGGAGTGAATTGGTTTCTTAATAAAAATTAGGTTTTCAAAATTTTCCCCAAATTTTACCGATTAAAATCTGTGTAAATGTAAATAGAGAAAGGGATAGAGTCTTACACAGGAAATTTATACTGGTTCGGATCAAAAAACCCTACGTCCAGTTGCTAATCACTCAACCAGAGGATTAACGCTGTCACTATAATCAAATTGTTACAATACAAATTACAATGGAAAAGATAAAGTTAAAGATAACACCTCTCTTGAAACCCACAAGAGATGAAGAACAGCTTTCCCCAGAGACGGCACAACACACAATCCACTAAGAACTCCACTTAGTGATTTTTATCGCTTCTAGCCCACACCAGGTTCCAAAAGCCCCCTTTCCTTGCAACAAACAGTTCTCTGCACTCACAACACTTAACTTTTGTATGGAAAAGGTTGTTCTTTTTTTCTGAGTGCCAAAGAAGAGTTTAAGTAGAGAAATTAGGGTTTAGGAATTGGGAATTTCGAAACTAGGGTTCTTGGGAATAGGGTTTTCGAAAATAGGTTTGATTTGAAGTTAAAACCCAAAATCTGACTGGTTTAATCGATTAAAAGAACTGTTAATCGATTAAACTAGAGCCAAAAATCAACAGAACCCAAATCTCTATGTTTTAATTGATTAAAAGGAGGTTTAATCGATTAAACCGCCTGATAATCGATTAAAAGTTGGTTTAATCGATTAAACCAGTGAGTTGTTACAGAAAATTATTTTTCTCACGGTTTTAATCGATTATTTCCCTATTTAATCGATTAAAGCCGAGCTTGAATGATAAACTTGAGCTTTTTGAAGCTTCTAAGATTCAGACTATGTACCGGCTATCTCAAACACTAAAATTACAGACTCAATCTAATTGAAACAGAGTTATTACAATACAAAACAAGTCTTCAACACTCTAAGTCTTTGTGTTCTTGAAACATCATCAAAATCAACAATCTTCATGTTCATCAAGTGCAACATCAAGTCCTTGAATGTTCAACAAAAAAACCCATTCTAGACACTATAAATAGTGTGACTGCAATGCATTGTTCATTAGTTGCACATTTATTGTATCGCTATTCCCTCTAGTGTCAAAGTATCTTGTATCATTTTATCTACCCAAGATTCCGTACCAAGAAAATGGAAGAGCTAGTTAGAATAATTTTTCTCATTTAAGAAGATCATAAAAAGTTTAGTGGAATGAGTCGTTCTTCATGTCTACACAATATTGCAATTCCACAATATAAACCTTTTCTGAATAATGTTTTATTAAGTTTATATTTCTTTTCTATATATCCTACATTTTTTTAAATACTTTTTCTTATTTTTATAAAACAATCAACGTTTCCCACTTTTCCTTTTATGTCTTCCTCCATTTCTTTATTTCATTGTTTTGAAAATCATACCAGATTGGTCCAACTGGAAACTAATATATAAATTGGTATGTTATTATTAGAAAACTTAAATTTTGATTAAATTGATATTGGTATGTTATTTAAAAAAAAATCATTTTTTAATTAAATTAATCTAAGAAATCGATTATATTTTTTAATCAAAGATTTTGACAATTTTTTTTAAAATTAAATATTTTTATAAATGATATATTTTTTTATTTTACATAAATCACGTTATCTTTAACTCATAATTATTTTAGTATATTATTATCTTATTTTTACAATTATAAATCATTTATTTTTTTATTAAATTTTATATTTATAATTTTTATTATAACCTGTAACGATAATAATTTTATTTATATTTATATTTATTTATTTATTTTTATTATTAATATATTTATTATATTATTATATTATAAACAAGTATTTTATTAAATTTAATTAAGCTAGTATTCAACCTTTAAACTCGTAGGTATTATTTATCCATTTAGTAAGTAGATTGGAATTAAAAGCATTGATTTCACTCGACCCAAAACTATAAAGACTTTTGAATTTATGAGCCAGTATACTTTTATTTTTTTTGTGACCAAATATAAGAAAATTTTAACACAATAGTCATTCAACAACAGAACCCGATATCTAGTATGATTTTACAGGTTAACTAAAATAGTTTGATGATTCAGCCATATTTATGTTTTAAAATATGTTAAAAATTTAGTTTAACTTAATCTCATTACCAATGAATTAACGAATCAATTTTTTCCTAATTGATTTTAAAAATATATTAATATATTTATTAAAAATTAATTAATTAAATATATTTAAATAAAAATAAGAAATATTTTAAAATTAAAAAAATGAAACATAATTTAAAAATATAAATTTTATTAATAACATTAATTTCTATTTAAGATATAATAATTTAATATATAAATTATAAGAGAATATTCAATCTTAAAATAAGAATTAAAAATTTATTATTTATTATCATTATTTATTTTTTAGTAATTAGATAATTTAAATTAATAATTAATCTTAATTATTAGATCTTGAAATTTATTATTAAAATTTTATTCTGATAGTTTCTCTTCTATTAGAACAAGTGAATTTCTTATCAAATTAATTTATACTATTAGAATAATATTAATTTTTTTTTATTTTATAAAATTATTATTTTATAAAACGAGTCAACCCATAAATCTACGAATTAATTTGGTCTAAGTCTAGATAGATCATGATTTAAATAGATCGTATTAAAATAGACTATAATTTTTAGTCTAACCTATATGCATGTTTTTATATCTCTATTCAACAACACTTATCATATATAAGCAGAATAAAACTATCCACTATTATGAAAATAGTCTTGGATAATTTTAAAAATATTAGTCCGTTTAGTTAATATATAATACCTTATGTTTATAATTAATAATTTATTCATTAAAATTATTATATAAATTATATTTCTTGTAAAAATCTAAAATATTTAATACTTTATTATTTGATTTAATATAATAACATTTTAAAACGTAAGTAGACGTGGACTCAGATTTATTTAAAATCTAGAATTATAGATATATGATTGTTGAGACAAAAGCACATAAGAATGGAAGAATAGTCCATTATTAAGGTAAACAAGGGGAGGACACATACACACTTATCATACTATTTGTTTATTCTAAAAGGAGTAGCTCGCAAGGATTGACCCATATCAATATCTGGGTTCACATTGTTTTCAAATTTCCAGTCAAAAGTGTTGATCAATGATCCCAACATCAAAGGCAACATCCTCATAGCTAAGGCCAAGCCAGGGCATATTCTTCGCCCACCTCCAAACGGTGTGAGTTGAGAGTGTCTTCCTTTCACATCAATTTCTGATCCCAAGAATCTGTCGGGTGAAAACAAGTTAGGATTATCCCATGTGCTAGGGTTTCTTCCAATGGCCCATTCATTGATTACGATTTGTGCGCCTTGTGGAATAAAGTAGCCATTGATTTCCACATCTATCTTGGCATTTCTTGGCAACAAAAGTGGTGCCGATGGGTGCATGCGCAAGGTCTCTTTTATAATTGCATGCAAATATGGGAGTCTTGCAATGTCTGATTCCTCAACAGGGTTGCCTATTCCAGTGGTTTGCTCAAGCTCCCTCTTGGCTTTTGACATTGCATCTGGGTTATTCATTAGCTCAGCCATTGCCCATTTTATTGTATATGATGTTGTATCTGTCCCAGCAACAACTAGATCCTGTTACAAATCATAGTTTATATATGTTGGTGAGAAAATCATCATTTGTATTTCATTAGAATTCAAGAGTTTAAGTTTTATATTTTGGATAAGAATAACGAAAATATTTATAAATCTATTATCTTGATTAAGTCATATTTTTTTATATAATAATTTTATCTTCCTTATTTAAACCTAACAGTAATTTTAATCCTCTTTAAAAATTTCTAATAATTTTTTCATATTATAGAAATATAAAACAAATAATTTACTAGCAAAGAGAAATTATGACTAACTTTTTTAGTCTTTTTATCTTTTGGGTTTAAATCAATTTGATCTTTCCTGTAATTGTTTTTTTATTGAACTACACGAATTTTATACATTAACTATAATATATTTCATAATTTTTTTATAATTTCACATTAGCTACGACATGTTGCGTAACTGTTTTATATTAATATTTACTTTCTTTTGATTGGAATATGATTTTGAGCTATTATTTGACTAAATTATAATGTGAAACTTGAATTGTTTAATTCATTTTATAACATCCTCAAAGTTATGAACCAAATAGTTAAAAGGTGAAAATTGGTTAACGAGCAAACTCAAAATTGAAAATAAATAATAATCTAATTTTAGATTCTTTTCAATTGTTTATGAAATTAATTTTTGACATGAATTTCATCGTGTCTTTTTCCAACATCAATCAAGTTTCACAACTTATATATATATATATATATATATATATATATATATATATATATATATATATATATATATATATTTGAATATAATGGAGAAAAATTTACGTTTAAAATTATTCAAAAAAGAGAGTTTAAAATCAGGTCTTAAAATTTAAAACGATTGCTGAGTTAAAAGGATTAAATGACCCAAATTTAAAACATAAAAGATAATGATTATTTTAAAAGACAAAAACCAAAAAGAAAATTTTAAAGAAGTAAAAGTGAAAAAGTAATTTAACCTTAAATAATCGAAAACCAAAATTATTGGGTTCAAAAGAAAATCAAAGTATTAGTATGAAGATTCATATTTAAACTAACGTATTAATTATATATATATATATATATATATATATATATATATATATATATATATTATATATACAAACATATTTTGTTTTATAAAAAAATTGGTTAATTTATTTAGAAAACTTTACAATTATGATACGTTGAATGAGTACGTTAGACTTAAATTTGTTTTGTGTCCCCAATTTGGTTAAGTTAACGTAGTAAGATGGAAAATTTAGTCTAACAAAAAGTTATGTTTATAAAATAATAACTTCTTAAGATACTAAAGATTTTATTTTATTTTTTAAGTTAAAAAATTAATCAAACAAAGGGATTAAAAAATATATTTGAAGCAATAATAAGGGAAAGGAATATACAAGGAATAAATGCTTAATCTTTTTGATGTCCATCTTTTGACCGTCCTCTTGAGAAATGTTGAGCAAGGTGTCTAACATATCATCATTATTTACGATATCTGCAAGCTGCAATCGTTTGTGAATCAATCTGTCAAAAATAACAAACAACTTGGAAATGTAAGTAGATGAACGCCTTCTAATGCCTTGTGGATCTACCATCTTCAACAACGGGAAAAAATCCGCCACGTTTGGCGTTGCAATTGCTCTCACAAGATTCTCCACTATGATCTTGTACTCTTCAGTTTCACCTGCACAGTTAACAAAATCCAAAGAGAAAAAAGTGTTTGATAAAAAGTTAATCGCAGTTCTAAAAGCCAAAGCTCCAATATCCACCGGGACACCACTGAGGCTACTTGCATGCACATCATCGAGGAGCTCATGCAGTTTCATGCGTCTAAGGTTTTGGCTTGCATCAAGGGACTTGTGGGAGAACAATTGGTTGTTGCATATTTTCCTAAGGTCTCTCCAAAGAGGTGAAATGGGGAGAAATGGTAAGCTATAATGGTTGTGGTTGTGAACTGTTGTGGCAAGTGGAACTGTTCGATCTGAGAATAACAAATCATGGGTTTGGAGAACCTCTTTGGCTATGTCTGGTGAGGAGATAACTATGGTGGTTAGTTGACCTAGCTTGAAACACATTATGGGGCCATGAAGGTTAGCAAGTTTGGCCAATGTTTGCTGTGGCTTTTTGCCAAGTTCAACCAGGTTTCCCACAAAGGTAATAGGAGAAGGTCCTGGTGGAAGCTTGTGGTTTCGTTTTCTCCTTATTTTCTTTGAGAGAAAGTGTATAATGGTCCATGCCAATAAAAGGAGAACTATACCCATTTTAGAATCCATGTGTATGGAATCAATAAAGAGAAGGAACATAGGGAATTAGATTGTAAGAGCTTTTGATGCACAGGATTAATTATGAAGAAATTGTCATTGCTTTAAGAGAGGATAAGAGAAGTGAATTTGAACTAAATAACTATATATATAAATGGTTAAGATTGGAAATTCTTTAATAATTAATTGACGATGGAAAGCTCATAGACTTAGTATTTCTTTTTTTAAAATTTTCATGATTTCATCAATTAATCATCCATGTGTAGTTGTCCAATCCAAATTTAATCATACTTCTTTAATGTGAGAAAAATGATGTTAAATAGGTCACCTTTGAATTTTAAAGACAAAAATATTCATCAGTTTTCTTAGTATTGTGAACTAACTTTTTTATTTTGATAATTCATTTATGATTTATGATTCAGATTTACAGCTCCCATCTTTTACAATAACAAAATGTTTTCTCTCGTAGCCAAAAAGTAAAATAAAATTAATTGACTTAATTAAGTAAGATGAACTTAAAATATTACATTTTGTTTTGTTTTAATTTCTTAAAATACTAGATGGTTAGTTACAGCGGCGTTATTCAGTTATTGTGAAAAATACAAATAATAAATTTGAACGATTTATATCTATATTTATCAATTTATATATATAACTCGATGTAAGAAGATTCGGTACTAAGAATGATTAAAGATTTATATGTCGATAGATGTGACAACATAAAAAAATTATTTGATAAATTATTTGTATTTAGGAGGGTTTACTTTGAATATTCTTCAAACTTAACGAATTTAAAAGAACAGGTACATTTTAATTTTATATTTTTCTTAGATCCTTCCACAGCAGCCATCCCTATTATCTCTGGTAAATCATCATCTTCTTAATAGTTTTAATTTAGTGACGTAACAACCTAACTCCTTCCACAATTTTGGTTAATACATATGATTTTATAATCTAATATGTTACGATTCACCAGACAAATTGCGGTCAATTCTTGCATAGCAGCCACCCCTACACAGAATAAGTCCCCAAAGTAAGTGTTTGAAAGGGATACTGCAGTTGACCAAACTAATGAATGATGTTTAGAAACAACTTTAATCATATTTCATATTTTTTTAAGTTGGTGGAATGTTGGGGATCTCAGAAATAATCTATAATCAGTCAATGATGTTTTTTTGACCGCTATTTTAAAGTACTGTTTTCTTCTTCTTTTTCGTAAACTAAAAACTAAAAAATAAAAAAATAAATATGAAAACTACATGTAGTATCCCAACACATGTCCGAACACATCCAAGCTCGGCCGAATGAAACGCATGTCCCAACACATCCAAGCATTGCTCTGTTTAAGAAAATTGCAAAAGAAGAGAGGAGGAAAATAAAAGAAAATATAACAAGACTGACTTAAAATTTTTTATCTTCTACGTCATTCATGGGACGTACATCGATTCAGCAGTTGTACTAAAACACTAAAAATCTTTCTAAATATCATTGTCAACAATAATAAGGTACAATGAAGAACCTTCCATATTGAATAGTAACATAAAAAATCAACTTATCCAAGCATATGCAAGCAACATTCACCCAACACATGTAAGCGTGCTACACTACAATAGTCATCATATGATAAGTTATCATGAACATTAGTGCATAGATGGAAAGAAAAGTTAGTAGTTTAGTGGGTAAAAATTCATTCATTTAAATTTTATTTACACAAATCTCTTAACAAGATCAAATTTATGATTTTAATTATAACAAATATGATTAAGTTTTTTTAAGTATTTAATATGGGTTAAAGTAGCTCGTAAGAAATAAATTGATAATCTAAGACTGAATAGTTTTATATTAAGAATAATTATAAAAATACATTATCAAATTATTCTAAAAATAAGATATAAGAGGATACATATGATTATTTGTTGATTAAATCAAATATAAAAAATAAAGGAACTCATAGAAGAATCTATGGGTATTGATCAAAATTAAAAATACTATTTGGAATGAAAATATATCATGTACTACAATAGGAATCAAGCAATTACACAATAGATAATATTAAGATTTTGCAAAAAAAAAAAACAACTACACAATATATAATATTAAGATTTTGTAAAAAAATAAATTAGAAGAAAATATTTTTCTCCAATAGTCATGTTTACATAAAAAGGAAAATATACAATATGTTGCAAAGATTTGAAAAAAAAGTATTTGAACCAAACTACTGAAAAATGCCAAAATATACTAAAAGAAAACTTTATGCAAAGAAGAATATCAAAGAAATATCAAGAATATTAAAGAGATGTTTCTATTAACCTAGAAAATATAAAGACTAGGGTTTCAACTGTCACTTAAAGCCTATAAAAGGAGGACATCATTTAAGAGAACACAACAACTACAACACAATTATGTTAGCCCTTATCCTATTTTTTTATTGAGTTTTTTCTTTTATAAGGTCTAAGAGAAAAAAGTTATTGTTATATTCTTCACCTAAATAAATAAACTTTCGGTTAAGAGTGTTTATTATTTATTCTTTTTGTGAGAGTTATTCAAATAGAGATAAACTATTGTTATATCTTTCACTTAGTGAAGTAAAGTAATGGAAATATTCTACCTCCTTCCACCATGGATGAAGCCGAAAGTCTCACACCTTAAGCACCCAAGGTGAACCAAAATTCTTTCTCAAGTTTCTAAAGAAACTTGGTACTAACTCCTCCACGGAAGGTTTCTTATTAGGAGAATAGGAGAAAGAAATCTACAAAGACACTTGAAAAGTCAATTCGGGGTACAAGCAAAATATGCAAGTTCTACATACAAATTTGGACTTCATTCCAATATGTTTCAAAAAGCTACACAAGGGGTCATATATATAGTTGTTCCCCTCTCATTCACTCACTCACCTAAGGAATGTGGGACTAATTTTGCCTTATACAAGTGATGACCGAAATTCCTAGCTTCAAGTCCTACCTAGACCACTTTTAATTACATTTATGAGTTTATATATCAAAAAACTCGCAGATGTTGCAACCAAGAGTGAACCTTGGACCTTCTTGTGTGTTTGGAGTGCTTTGGCCGAATTTGAGAAGCTAAAATGATGTATTCCCTTTTTGTTGAATCCAACACTTGAACCTTAAATGCAACCCCTTCAAGTTTGTATCTTATTTGAAGTCTAATGTGTTAAGGTCTAGTGTGGTAAGACCCAACGTGTCATAGCCCAGATAGTCCTCCATCAGACCCTCCCTCTTGAGAAGCATCTGACCTCAGATCCAAATCTTCCCTGTAAAAGAAAAAAAATTTATTCTAAAAGTGAAAGAACTAATTTAGGTATTTATTAAAAGTGAGAGATCTAATCTAGGTATAACACAAGGACTGAGACTCTCCTTGATCTCAACCCTTCTTCAGCAAGTCACTTACTTGATTTTCTATCTCAAGGGGTTCATTCAATGTTTTATTTCCTAAAAGTGGAAGTTCATATAGTACTTCTCTGGGAAATAGATCATTATTATCAAAATTATGTTATACCCCATGTGGTAGAAAATTAAGTCTATAACTTGTGACAACAAATGTCCTTTTTATGAGAGAAGGAAAAAAGGTTGTTCAAACTTCAGAGGAGAAATTTATTTTGAAAAGTTTTTGTTAAACAACTCTTTTGGAGGGGACACAAAACCCCAAACCTTATTCCCTCTTAATTCAATTTTTATTTAAAGATAATGTTTTTGTTTTGACTTTTTTTCTCTCTTACAATTTTATTTTTTATTTTTATTTGGTCATCCATCACTTGTTAAGATGTAAGAGGACACAAAAATATTTTTCTATCATTGTGAAGGAAACTTATATTGTTAGTGTGGCCATCATGGATAGTTTGTCTATCATGTTGCCATGATGACCTATCAAGTAGAATATGCCCAACATCCATAGAAACTACATCGCACAAAATATTTTCTTTATAAAGTTCCTATAGATATTGATATATCTACTTGTTTATTAACTATTATACCACCATCTTCATTGAGCCATTGAAGTTTGTAAGGTTTTGGATGGGGTGTAGTAGTTAAGGCTAGTTTTTCCACCAACCTATAACTACAACATTTACAACATGAACCACTATCCATAATTAAAGAATAAGTACTTTTCAAAACTTCACACCTTGTGTGGAATAGATTTTCATATTGGGATTGTTCCAGCTCATAAGGTTGGCTTCCGAGAAGCCTTCTTACTACAAGTAATTCTCCTTCACAAGGGAGAATTTCTTCCTCAGAGTTTAAAACTTCATCTTCACTTGGTGAAGAGTGAGCTTCATCCTCACTTATGATCTCTTAGTCTTTTAAAAGTATAAATTTTCTATTGGGACAGTCAGAAGCATAGTGCCCTCTTCCAAGACATCCAAAGCATTGAATGTCTCTAGTTCTAACCCCTTTGGAAGGTTCTTCATTTTTATATTTTTCTTTCTCTTTTTCTCTTTCTTTTTCTTTTTCTCTTTCTTTTTCTTTTTCTCTTTCTTTTTCTTTATCCATTTGTGACCCTTCATCCCTAGATGTGGAGGGATAACCCTCCCTCTTAAAATCTTCCTTAGGAATAAACCTATTAAGGTAGTCTCTCTTATGAGAATATTTTCTTTTCACTTGTTGTTCTACCCTTACACAAAGTTGAACTAGTTTGTTTAAGTCATTATAAGGCACACTACAAGAAAATCGCGTATTACCGACGGATATTTACCGACGGATTTGTAGCCGTCGGAAAATAATCATTACCGACGGAAATTACCGACGGATATAGAATATTTGTGAAATTTGATGTTACCGACGGATATATCCGTCGGTAAAATAATAATTAGTTACCGACGGATATATCCGTCGATAAATCGTCGGAATTGTCTATTGATGAATTTACTACGACGGATATATCCGTCTGTAAATCCGTCGATAATTTAACAATTAATTACCGACCGATATATCCGTCGGTAAATTCATATGTAAATTAAAAATTATTTACCGACGGATATATCCGTCGGTAAAATT